GAGTGCCCATGTACTACGGCAAAAACCTTTATAAACACAGAAAAAAATGGCAGAAGTCTTCAAAAACATGCTGGGAGCCTGCATGTATATCCCCCAAACCCTAACAGGAGAGAGCTATGGAAGAAAAGGATGGGGCATGACTGCCTCCTGTCGGGGGTGCTTTCTCTGTCTCTGGTGAGAACACATGCCTTCCGCAATGAAGAAAAGAGCTAGAAGACAGAAATATGAAGACTGTAGACACCCTCGTGATCTAGAAAATGTCTCCACTATGTTTTAAACTCTATATTTCTGCTTTTTCTAAATATACATATATGCATGTTTTTAGATACAAATGCTGTATATACTATTGTAAAACCTTTCCCCACTTAAAATACAGTACAAATTCCTTGCAGGTCTTTAAACATCCTTTTACCACATCAATTTTTTAGCTGCCTAGGATCCCCAAATATGAATATACCATATTTTATACCAAATATACCATATTTGTATTCTTAAATTTTTATTCCTTTAAATCATACTGAGATAAGGGGCAGGGGAGAAAGACAAGGGAAGGGAAATGAAAAGTTGCCGAATATTCTAGTTAAGGAAGGCCTTAAGTCCCTTAAAACATTGCCATCTTTATAGCTGCAGCTCTGCTTATATCATCAGTGGGTACAAATAAATAGCCAGACAGCCCGAGGGATTGCCGGATCAAAAAACCAACATGGTTCTAAGGCTTCTGACCGACGTCGCCGAGCCATCCTCAAAAACGCTGGGCTCATGTACATCCTTGTCCCGATAAACGTCTCAGTATCTGCCCCTGCAGTGCGATTACCATTTTTTTAAAATCTCTGCTTGCATAACATTTTGAAATCAGTCTTCAGAAGTTCCCCAAACTCTTTCCTTTCGTGCTTCTAGACTCCTGGCACCCAGTCTTCCTCTGAGCAGCTCCACGGCCCTGTCCAGGCCTTCTTCCGTTTGTCCTCGCCACGCTCGGCACTTCGGGTGGCTCCGTTACAACACCGAAATTTGCCTAGGAGCTGTTTATCCCTGGAAGCCCTTAGAGCCAAAGTATCAGTCAACGAATCTGATAAACTAATCCACGCTAGCGTAAAGGGGCTCATTTCCAGCAACACGTATGCGACGTGACTTGAGCGGTCTAAGGAAAACATGATAACATCTACAACTGCCAGGCGTGTTTGTTTATAGAGCCGTGGCTCTCAGATTTCGTGGCACCTTGCAATCACCTGGGGGACTTGAGAAACCATTGCTGAAACATACTCCTCTCCCAGAGATTCTGAAAACATGTGGGATAAGACATGATCTGGGTATGAGGATTTTCTGGATCAGTCCTGAGGTGACTCTATCGTAATATCTCTGCCTGCGATGAGTTAGAGAGATCCTCAGTAGCTTCTCCAAGGACAATGCTGGAGGGTCCCAAGGAGCCAAGTGCAATGCGCATAATCTCACAATGTGACTCGCTGTACAAAAGAGATAGGGATGTCTAGGGACATCGTGAGTGGTTAGGCTTGTGCAACGACAGCACAGTAAAGTAGCAGGTGGTTTGTTTTTAAGAGGGATTTTTGCCATAGAGCCCGAGCACTAACCTGAGAGACAGAAAGCAAAACATCACCCCTCCGGGGATGGGGTGGCCACGCCACGATCTCTTCTCCTGCCATCTGCTGGGACCAGCGTTCACATTGCTCGATGCTAGGCAGGTACTACCGTGTTCGGAAGTAAGCCAAGCTTACACTCTTCAATAGCTTCAGCCGCTTTTGTGATTGAGCCGGTCAACCCGAACTAAAATCGCGTGGCTAACAGAGTTTATGGCATGACATCTAGAAGTAGCTCTTCCGGTTTCAATGACATAAATTAGTTCCTATTTCTTTTTTTTTTTTCTTTTGAGAGGTTTTTGCTATAGGGCGCATGTGCTCGCCAGACAGACAGAGAGAGACAGAAAGCAGGAAATCACCCCCCAGGGGGGATGGCCACGCCGCAATCCCTTCTCCTCCATTCTCCTCTCAGGATCTTGGGCACGTATGCACATGCACCCGGCGTGAGTTTAAGCCACCGGGTCCGGGACTCGAACCACGGTCGACTACGTGGGAGTCCAGCAACATAGCCATTACGCTAACTGCTGGTCCCAGTTCCTATTTCTTTTTAAAGTGGGGTAACCCCTCAGGTCTCTACCTCCTGCACAGTGGACCCTGGTGGATACTGTGAGAACCACCACACACACCCGGCGTTTGAACACCTTGCTAAACTGTACAGCAACCTTACAATGTACTTGACTGCCCTATTTTACAGGGAAACTCAGGAAAAAGTGAAGTGACACTGCAAAGTGCTTCTCTGGTCTGAACGATCTCGCTATTTCACAATTTGGGTGGGAAGTGACAAGAGCCACTTGTGTGCAAACCTCCTTGTGTCCCAGTGCCATGGGAAGACACTTGTTACCACATTTATTGCTGTGACCGGCATTACACCCCCTGAGGACACGCCGTGTGCAGAGAGGGTCTTACACAGGCTTACCCTCGGCGGGTTGGCCACACTGCTGGAAAAGGAAATAATTTCTCCAATCTGGCCTTCCCCACACAACGTACGATGAGGAAGACGTCCTTGGTGGCTCCTGCAGTCAACATAGCAGTGTGATTCTATTGTTCTGTTTTATTTTATTCTTTCCAGCATGTACAGATTAGTGGTCACTTTATTTTTTTGTTTGTTCTTAGGTTTTTGTGATAGGGTGCGTGTGCTCGCCAGAGAACGTGAGAAAGAAAGTGAGAAATCACCCCTCACTCCAAGAGGGATGGCCATGCCACAATCCCCGCCAGAGAACGTGAGAAGGAAAGTGAGAAATCACCCTTCTCTCCAAGAGGGATGGCCATGCCACAATCCATTCTCTTCATTCTCCTCCTGGGATATTTGGCATGCACATACACGCAGCTGGTGTGGTTGGCAAGCCACCGGTCCCAGATTGGAAGCACAGCTGGCCATGTGGGAGTCCAGCGCCTTCTGGAAGCACAACTGGCCAAGTGGGAGTCCAGCGCCTTAACCATCATGCCACCTGCTGGTCCCTGTCCCTAATTTTAAGTCACACTCATACATCCTTGACAATGGAGGTCTGTTCTGAGAACTGCACCATCAGGTGATTTCGCCACGGTACGAACATCGTGGGATATATTTGAACAGACAGTATCACCTACCTAGCTATACAAGGGGACTTTGAAAAGCTCGTAGGAAAATTAATTAAAGGATAAATTTATTTAGCAAACATTTAAAATTTGTGTTTTGTTTTTAAAAAGAATTATTTAACTTTATTTATTATTATTGCTATTCAATTTGAGCAGAGAGAGAGAAGGAAAGTGAGAAAGAAAGCCGCCAGGTCTGGGACTTGAACCATGGTTGGCCATGTGGGAGTCCAGCACCGTTAATCACCAGGCCACCTGCTGGCCCTGCATACTTAGTTTTTACCTAATAAGCATTGCCATGAACTTTTTGAAGACCCCTCATACGGTGTAGCCTTCCATAAACTTACGGACCCACGGTTGTATCTGTGATCCTTCATTGATTAAAACATCCGGGACTGTACCCCTCAGGCCAAGACTCCTTCTCAGACTCCTCCTTGTGATACTCTGAATTACGTAATGTCATGGTGGAAGTGAAGGCTTGCAGCGCTTCCTACATGAAGACTGCCTTTCTTGGTACCCATGCTGAGAAGGGGGTGGTCTTCTTCCCCGTGTGAATGGTTATAGTGAGCGGAGGGTGGAGGGGATGTCTAGCTTCAGGGATCCTTACTCAGAGACGAAAGGGGCCTTGGACGTGGAGAACCTGGCTGGATTCAGGAAAAGCTAATTCCTACTGGAATGTACTACCTTATCCTGGTAAGGGGGCTCTTCATAGGATAAAGCCTCACGGTGTAATCCTTCCCATAATTAGGGTGGGCAGGGAAAAGAAGCATAAACCCTTGAGAAAAAGAATGGTTCTTTTTCTCCTTTTCCTCTAGTTGTCATTCTTGAAAAAACGGAGTTTACAAAAATAACCTGAGCTTAAAGCACAAGACAGAAAAGAGGGAGGAGATTTGGTTTTGGAGGAGGGTTAGGAATTTAGAGCAGGCTGCTCCGAAATACTGCCCAATCACAGGGCTCAGTCTTGAGTGCAGACTCGAGTTTAGATTTTAGTCTCTGACTCTGAAGGAAGGCCGCCTACACCACGGAATAAACCAGACACGGATACATTTTGCCATCGATGGGGGAATGACACACACACCCCTGGGCCCACGGAGCGAAGCCTTATGGCTCCAGGCCACGCAGAGCGCTCCGAGCGGGGCCTCCTGGACAGCTCAGGATGGGGATCAGGCTGCAGGGCAGGCGGAAAATGTGCACCATGCAAATGAGGGCTGCCCGCGCCTCCGCTCCGCCACCTCCTTCTCAGCCAGCCCGGCCCCCGGCCTCCTTTCTCGGCCGAGCTCAGGCCACGGATGAAACGACCGAGGTCCGTCCAGCTCGGGGCAGCCAGCTGCGGGCTTGGGAACCGAGCGCCCCACGGCCAGGGCAAAGACCGCCCGCGCTCGCTTTTGCTTTTAAGGTGGCTGCAACCCCGTGACCCCAGCTTTTCCCAGAGCCTTCCCGAACACTTTACTCGCTCTCTGCTGGTCCCTTTGGGGGAACGAAGATGGGAAAGGGGGTGATTTATAAAACGATGGGCATTTTGGGGGGTGTTTTGTTTTTGATGTTGCACACCAAGAAAAGAGGGGTATTTAGGACAGCCGCAGGGTTCAATAGTTGTGAAATTCTAATCAAGAACTTCACCTCCAGTGTCACAAACGCAGATGGGACAGGGACCTGGCCCGCTGCTAGCCAGGCGGCGATGCGAGACGCCCAGAACGCCCGACGGCCACCTTAACAGCGCTCGCCCCGCTGCGCAGGGAAGGTGGCAGGAAAGTGGCCTTCGGGTGGAACCGGCCGGGCGATGCCGCGACCCCGCCTGGGGAAGGAGAGGGGGAGGAGCCCCGGGCTGCGCCTCACCACTTGCTGTGCGCCCCGGAAGGTCGCGTCCAGCAGCATCAGCTTCCAGGGATCGGACACGGAGCCGGGCAGCGGGATGTAGACGTAGTAGGCGGCCAGCGCCACCAGCGCGGTGAGCAGCACGCAGGACGACCTCATCCTCCCGGCTCGGCTCGGCTCGGCTCGCCCCGGGCAGACGCAGACGAGCTCCGGGCGCTGCAGCCCCAGGACC